GACATTAAAGATTATATATATCTAAACGGCGAAAAATACCGTCCCCAAGATATATCACCAATCAACATTTTTAGCTTTGTTACACTCAAAAATGAGATCCTTGATTTTCTAGGATGGCCCTACTACATCTTAGAAAAATTGACTATTTTATACGCAATGTTTAACTTTATTGGATTTCTTTTCTCACTCTTAAAAGGAATCTACAATACATGTGCTATACACACACAAGTAAACAGACAAGCAAGCGTAGCACGCATACTCTTTGCAGGATTTTTTGGAATTTTTTCCACATCCATAAACAAAATTCTTTTAGACGCACAAATAAAAGAATATAACACAAAAATAACAACACGACAAAATACATACGACGAAGAACATAACAATGTAGACATAACGCCAACGGCACCACAATTACCACCCCTACCAAATAACCATCCACTATCCCTAGTCCCACGAAATTTTCGAAATTTAGCAATCACACATAATCCAAATTTTCGACTCAATACATCACAAAGTCCCGTCCAACATATAATGACACACCAGTCACAAGATGATAATACTTATGAACAAATTATTGAACAGCCCCATACCACCGCTTTTCAATCTCAAAATAATAATTTTTTTAGCCCACGATGAGCCGCCAACTTGGATCACTACACCGATCAAATTCCCATCCAACCAATCTTACCTCTTCAATCCCAATCATACCACTTTTTGCTTTTCCGCCACCCGATTTTCCATCTAGCAATGTAACATCAGGCATGAATTCCGATACTAATTCACACATTTCAGTTTTATACTCCATTTCACAGCTAAATAACCCGAATATTGAAACCCCCGATGAATTCGCCGACTCAGAACCATCCCCATCCAATAATTTTCATAACCCTTCTAATTTTTCTCAACCTCCTTTTCAACCCATATTGTCAAATAACCCTGACCCAATCACTCCCACACCCTCTTATGCTTCCCAAGTTACCCCAACCTACTCCTCATACCATTCTGACCAATCATCTCCAGACACCCCCCGAATCTCCCCAGAGCTAGACAATTTTATTACCCTCCAACAACAACCCTACCACCTTAACACCCCGACCATAAACCAAATCTCCTCCACTACAAATTCATCCAATCCCCCTACACCCTCTTCAAATTATACTGAATCATTAACACCATCATCCACATCCACTATATCTTCACTAAACACTAATAGAGCTTACCGCACTTTTAAAAGAAAGTTCCCCAACCATCCTTTCCCAGCAAAACCAGGAACAGCCCGTGAATACATCAACCACCCCCAGCATACTAACACCAAAGAATTTTTAGCTATCACTTTACCCTCATTTCCACAATACACCTTAAACACCCCTCATGACGCTAACGAAACACGCAACTTTGTAGACGAATACGTTTTAATGCCCACTCTCTCTTGGACCTCATACTATCATTTCACTAACCCTCTTTGCTTACCTTTAACCAACACTTCCATCGATACAGACAGAAACAAAGATATGCTATATCGACTAACTACACCACTAACCGCTAGACAATTTACTTACGTTGGATATAAAAAATCACTAAAAATACACACTGCACCTAGAGCTAATGAATATACACTAGAATACTACGATCACAACATCATTAGAGCTAACCAAGATCAATTCTTAGACGACGATCGCTTCGCTAATCCACAAATCACCGAGAAATTTTTCATCAAGACACCATATGTATTTACACTAAACATTTTCGACCGAAAGTTTAATCACATTATTTCAGAAGCACTAACAAACACACAAGCATACGAAAGTTTTAAAGAACGCTTCCAAATCTTTTCACTAACCTTTCATTTCCTTGCACCACACGAAAGAGATTTACACTGCTCACACGATATTATGTTGCGCACTAAACAAACACATACATACAGTTACTATCGTTTCATCCAAAATCACTTTGACCTCCACACACCCTCTAGACAACCACACCATCGTTTCCAATTCATCAATTCAAAATACACTTCACCGTATTTCCTAAATTTCACATATTGTATTAAAGACACTAACCTCCATGGTATTCTTCGTAATTATGACCCCATAACCCAAATGTATATTTTCTGCCCCATCACCAAGACCTTCAACGCCGAAGAATCCCGACCCTTCCTTATCCCGCACGAGTTTGTACAGCCTATAGAGATCCCAATTTTAGAATTCATCCACAACACTAAATTTAACCACAAATTATATAACTTAATCCAAAACACACCTTATGAGTTTGCAGTAGGCACTGAAGAACTAACCACTATTAAGGCACTTCAATTGCTTTGGCCACTGCTTCAAACTAAAAATATCATCCGCATCTTAGCTAAACTACTAACAACTTCAGAACTAATTCACGACATCTTCCCCCACGGTTTTTTCCCCGACGACTAACAGGTAAGTATGAATTAAGTAAATATTACTAACTAATTAAAATATTGAAAAAACTCACCATTCTTTATTCATGTTTTCTTTAGATTTTTAGCTTTCATCCGACAATCACCTACAAAAACCACAAAAGAAACAATAAAAATCACAATCTTCATCAAACAATTTTAAAATTCTATTAATCTCCTACACTTATAAATTTCTAAATTTAATATCAATGCAATAAATTCATCTATAAAATTTTCCCCCAAAGCAGTAAATCTAATTATGATGAGAATTTGTATCTTAAAATTCCCCCTTAACTAGCAGTAAATTTCCAAATTCTATGCAGTAAATTAATAAAATGCAATTGCAGTACTAACCTTTTGATATTTTCATTCATTCGCACAGAAATTCTATCCACACTCGCACAGCTCGCCCAGGAAGAATTGTTTAAAATAATGAATTTCAGTTTCAAGTTTTCAAACTCAACAACTCTAACATATAATAACATGTTTCAAACTTTCCTTTAACCCGGTTGGAAAGGAATCATATACTAAACAAAACTAACCAACGCAGCTTACTAAATACCACAAATCATAGAATAACAGCATGACTAAGAAAAGGAAACTAACGGTACCCAAACCGGATTAACCCAGTTTAAAACTGGATAAATTATTCTTTTGAAGACTATTATAAAGTCTAAGAAAGAAATAATAAAACACAAAAAAGTCGAAAGACAAACCCATACCACAAACAATTTGCTTTTTAGAAAAAGTACATAACCAACAAGACATAAGTAAAACCACAACAAACCCAACATAAAACGTTGTCACATAACAGGACCCCTCACAAACACCGCATGAAATTATACTCCCACACCTGGCCTAACCCACCAGGAAAGGACGTCCTGAGCATGCTCTATAGCCGGCCTAACCCACCGCGCTACATCCACGCTTTGTGACCACACCTTTATTTTTAATAAGAGCTACTCAAGGGTGAGTAACTCTTCAAAATAACCGAACTAAAACAAAAAGCTTTTGTGAAAACAACTAACTAAAATCATTATTAAAAAACATTAAACTAATAAAAATTTTATAAAATGTAAAATCACATGATGCAATATATAGATCAGAATACAACACCAAGGACGAACATCAAAAGATAAGACGACCTCACTACACTCGAGAGAGAATGACCAACTACAATCGATATGCCGCTCACAATCACAACTCAAAGGATTTAGAGTACGACTTGACCTCGCAGAAAAGGACTTCATTGAACTAGACCAATGACCACCTCGATGACCCAAGTGTACGTACAGATCCGAGTAACCAGGCATCCCCTCCACGCACAATCTCCACGCCATTCCCAAGCTAGATCAGACACAAAGAAGTTCTCCCCGAAGAACAGAAAAACCTGACATAGCCAACCATTCTGAAATCAGAATTGGTTTTGTTGCAGAGACTCAGTCGTTGTCACAAGAAGAACACAACGTCTTATGTCTCTAACTCCAGTTTCCTGGAACTTCCTAAACAAAAAGGAAACAAAGAAATATGATGTTCGCCAAATACCAACGTCCATCATCCATCCTTGAATTACAGAAGAACTGTTCTAAAAAACTCTGTAAAACCCGGATGGGTGGAACCTGATCTAAACTATATTTTATGATTGGATAAATTAAATGTTTTACCAATGTAAAGTATTTAATATTAACCAATCATGATCCATCTAACTAACAACCCACTTATTTGTAAGTGCTGAAGTTACTTGTAATTTCAGCACCAGAGAGATTTGAATTTAACTTAGAAATTAGTTGGACTCTCCCGAGCACTTCAGCAGCCGCAATAAACCAGTATACCCTAGATCTATTGAGCCTAGCAGAGACTAGTTAAACAACCTGAGACTAGATAGTATAAGAGTAAGATTAGGATCGGTATTAGACTAAGAAGTTGCACGAATCTATCCGGCCGAAAATAAGATAGCGTGACGAGCAGACGGTGTACCCTATCCGAAATTACTCTATGAGTTATACATCCCAGTCCTAACTCATTTTGCAGATAGTTCAAGGGTATATTCTTTAACCAAATAAATATCTTTCATCAGGGTTGGTTTTAGGGGGGGCACGCCTCCCCCCTCAGGGATTCAACCCTCTCACCAACCAAAAGGTCCCCTTTGGTATTACTTTATGACATCCATTTTAGGCCGAGCAACCTTAAAATTTTTCTAAAGGCGCCTTCGGTCAATATACAATATATACTATGTAATACAATTTTTCAAAAAGTGCCCAAAAGCGGCTTTTTGGACCAGTTTTTTTCAAAAATTGTTCTGTTTTGTACTGTTCTGGGAGTGCTCGGAAAATCAATTTGGTTGACCTAAAAAAAAGGTCGACATGATTTTTTTTAAATTTCGAATTCGCCCTCTCCCCTCTAGAAAATCCTAGTTCTGCTCCTGCCTTCCATGTTTATATACATTTCCGACGTAACGATTGTTTTAATAATTTATTTGCATTTTTTTGGAAACAATTCAAGTAAAAATCCCAAGGGTTAAATGAATCTACAGGTTTGTAAAGCAAAGATATATACTAATGAACGGACTGACCTGTATCCATTGAGGTTGCCTCTAGTCTTCTTGCAGGATGTGAGCTCTGGGATGATTGCCAGGTGGGATATCTGGGATGAGGCCCAGCCAAACTGAAAGAGGCAGATGAAGGGTGTGTAGTAGATGTACTTAGAGAGAATGTTCGTGTCTGAGTCACAGCCGATGCAGTTGTTGAACACGAACACGAAACTGCTGGCGACTCCTATCACTCCTGAAAACAGAAAGATCAATGCAGTTCCTCCAAATAACAGAGGAGCTATCATTAAGTTTTAACAGTTTTGTCCAAAGATAGACCAATGAGCAGAATGTTCTAAGAGCAGAAAGGGTCCAAGAGCAGTAAAACAGAAAAATTTTGATTTATACGGGCTAATAGATAAAGCCAGTATTAGAGTTGCCAACACTAACTAGGAAATTATTGAATTATGCATTTTTTGGGTAATTTTACCAAGTTTTTTTATTGCCTCCGGATCGAGGTCGTGGTTTTATGTTCAGACCGTGTTGACCAGAGTTTTGCATGCTCAGACCTTTGGGACCAGAATATGGTATGTTCAGACCGTGTGGACCAGAAAAAACTATGTTCAGACCGTGTGGACCGAAGAAATCAGGATTAAGACCGCGTGGACCAAAGGAATCCGGTTTTAGTCCGTGTGGAAGAATGAATTGGGTTTCAGACCGTGTCGACCGACGATATCCCGATTTAGACCGTGTGGACCAAAAAAAAAACAATTTTGTTTTGGGATCGAAAATGGTTCATATTTATTCGACCTCTCAATTTGACAATTTTCAGCAGAGCGTTTCAATTGCACCCCCAATGACTGCTTTCGAAAACCGGCTGGCTTATAATCAGACAAGTAATATAATGCCAAAATATACTAATTGAATTTTTTTGAAAGCTTAAAAAAATTTTCTTGTCGACTTATTCGAAAAAAATTTAGTAAAAAAAGCCCATTTATTGTCCTTTTTGATTAAAAAAAGCTTCAATTCAACAACAACTATTCGAGACCATATAAAGGGGAGTCGATAAACTCAGGGTTTGACCTGATACGAAGAGTGTTATTGTATTATTTACTCGCATTCTACATTAACCATTTATTTTGTTGAGCGGTTCTCTTTTTTGCGAATCAAGACCAATTTATATGCCTAAAACTTTAACGTGGTACCATTATTGCAGCCGAAATCGAACAGGCTGTATAAGACCTGAAGCTATGGGTCAAGTGAGAGCTCGTACTCACACACTATCATTGCACTGATAAGGGATGACTACATGCCTCACCAGTCATAACTTAAAATAAATGAGAAAGAAATTCCACAAAACATTGATCAAATTTTTACAAACAAAATAGGAGGGCTGTGATTTTTATAGAACGTTTATTTAGAAAAAAAAATGAAAAATTTTGAGATTTTTCATGGCATTCTTTTGCCTTTTGTTCTGATCTTTTTTTTCTTTGATTCGAAAATTCCCGCAAATTCCAGCTGAAAAAGCTATTCTATCTTTGAATGCTCATTGCAAAAAAAACGCCAAAATTTAATGAGTGGAACTTAATAGATAGAAAAAATGCTTATCAAAAAAATTAAAAAAAAAACAGCACTAAAATAACACTTACAATTTTCATAAGTAGATGAACATCATGTACCAACCGAATAGATGCCATGACTTGCGCACTCCATACAGCTGGCAGCCGGTGGTTCTGTCTGACTCATAGCCCACAAAGGGAGTCCCAATGGCATCTGCCATCTGGCCAATCAGCACCAGGTTCCCAGCTGTCACACTGTCAATCTCAAGCACCTGAACAAGATGAAATAATTCCCAGTATTATACTTATAAGAAATAACACAATTTCCACTTTTTTGTTTTGAGAGTTATAATTAGAACATGGCTTGTATCTCAAAAGACTCTTTATGATTTAATGAGCTGAATTCTTACACAGAGTGATCACCACGATATTTGAGTTGAATTTAACACTCACGGCGGTTTTTTGAGTGTTGTTAAGAGCGTTCGAATAACAACCCTTGGGATTGACCGCTTTGTCTCTTTTTTTTCTCAAACTTTCAGAAGAAAACTCTGAAGTATATCCAGGTCAAATATCAATTGTTATTGTTCTGACGAATTTTGAAATATTATATCATAATAACATAACAACGTAGTGAGAAAAAATTGGGGAAAAAATCAACTTTTTTTTGTGTTTTTGTTGAGTTATAAGTTTTGAGATCAAGTTCATAAGATCCCGACCAACTTTTTCGAAAGTTTTTCTGCCAAAAACTTTTAAGGGGAAGTTTCTTTTTACCGACACAACCAGGAATGCGCAAAGACAATTCGGCACTCAATTATTCAAACGTTCAAAAACTGAAGAAACCTTTTTCGCGACGGTGGTAAATTTAAACTACATCGAACAAAGTTGAGTCAGGTCCATGCTTCTAGAACTATAAAAAACAAAATTAACAAAATTAACAAGTCGGATTTTTTGTCTATTTACAATTCAAAACTTGCCACCAATTTTTATCATAAATTATTTAACAACGAAAAAAAAAAACTACAAAAAAAATAAAAGCTTACTTGATGGAAGAAAATGATGAAGTAGCTGAACCACATGGCAGAACAGAGGTCATTCAGTACATGACCCACACTGTAGCAGAAGGTCTGCACTTTACTGATGTCCTTGAAGATGACCTCTTCTCCTTCAAGGGTCACTGGATTTTCAGGGGTCAGAGGGGTCACATCGTCCTCCTGCTCTCCTGTAGATTTAATCTCCGTAATAGGATCCATTTCGTGTAACTTAAATTAATTGTGAGTCAGATTTAAAATAACTATAGAAAAAAAGGAGAATATTGCTTCAAACATAAATTTAGAGATGAACTCCGAGCCTATAGTTTCAATTTTGGCGATAAAATGATACAAGTTTATCTAAAAATTGTTGTTTAAGGTAGTAAATTTTGAAGTAAAATTCTAAACCGCATAAGGTCGTTAACTTTTGGACCCGAAAAGTTCGTTCCACCTTTTATCTTTAGAAATTCTAATTAAGGAAATTAGTTAAGCAATCCAATTAAATGTTTGCTCTAGGTGTGGAATTAAGCAAATATATGGCATTTCTTTAGACCAATCATTGGTATTAACAATCTAGACTATCTAGATGAATAACCGATGGTAAAACAATAATACTGAATTGAACGCGTTTTGTATGGTACCTTATAGAGACAAGAGACATAATGGCCGTGAATTAGAGATGGCACACAAAGGCAACACAAACGCTATTTTAAATGAACCCATTTTCTCGTAAAATCTAGTAGAAACTTGGTACGCCTTTAGATTCTGATATTTGAAGATATAGGCTCAACCTTATCGGCTAATTTGTGATTCCTCTGAAATTTATCAAATAGAGTTTAATCACGAACCCTCTTAGACAACAATGATTAATTAGTAGAGAAATTGATTGAAATCGAACAAATTTTGAGGTCAATCAAAAATTACAAAACCTTGTAGAAGAATTGTACATAAATAAACGTTGTTGATTTATTGAGAGAAACTGATTGACTAATTAAGAGTAAAACGTTTAAAATGTGTCTATATTTGTTTTTTCGCTTCTTTAGCGGTTAGAGACTGTACTAAAATAACACTTACAATTTTCATAAGTAGATGAACATCATGTACCAACCGAATAGATGCCATGACTTGCGCACTCCATACAGCTGGCAGCCGGTGGTTCTGTCTGACTCATAGCCCACAAAGGGAGTCCCAATGGCATCTGCCATCTGGCCAATCAGCACCAGGTTCCCAGCTGTCACACTGTCAATCTCAAGCACCTGAACAAGATGAAATAATTCCCAGTATTATACTTATAAGAAATAACACAATTTCCACTTTTTTGTTTTGAGAGTTATAATTAGAACATGGCTTGTATCTCAAAAGACTCTTTATGATTTAATGAGCTGAATTCTTACACAGAGTGATCACCACGATATTTGAGTTGAATTTAACACTCACGGCGGTTTTTTGAGTGTTGTTAAGAGCGTTCGAATAACAACCCTTGGGATTGACCGCTTTGTCTCTTTTTTTTCTCAAACTTTCAGAAGAAAACTCTGAAGTATATCCAGGTCAAATATCAATTGTTATTGTTCTGACGAATTTTGAAATATTATATCATAATAACATAACAACGTAGTGAGAAAAAATTGGGGAAAAAATCAACTTTTTTTTGTGTTTTTGTTGAGTTATAAGTTTTGAGATCAAGTTCATAAGATCCCGACCAACTTTTTCGAAAGTTTTTCTGCCAAAAACTTTTAAGGGGAAGTTTCTTTTTACCGACACAACCAGGAATGCGCAAAGACAATTCGGCACTCAATTATTCAAACGTTCAAAAACTGAAGAAACCTTTTTCGCGACGGTGGTAAATTTAAACTACATCGAACAAAGTTGAGTCAGGTCCATGCTTCTAGAACTATAAAAAACAAAATTAACAAAATTAACAAGTCGGATTTTTTGTCTATTTACAATTCAAAACTTGCCACCAATTTTTATCATAAATTATTTAACAACGAAAAAAAAAAACTACAAAAAAAATAAAAGCTTACTTGATGGAAGAAAATGATGAAGTAGCTGAACCACATGGCAGAACAGAGGTCATTCAGTACATGACCCACACTGTAGCAGAAGGTCTGCACTTTACTGATGTCCTTGAAGATGACCTCTTCTCCTTCAAGGGTCACTGGATTTTCAGGGGTCAGAGGGGTCACATCGTCCTCCTGCTCTCCTGTAGATTTAATCTCCGTAATAGGATCCATTTCGTGTAACTTAAATTAATTGTGAGTCAGATTTAAAATAACTATAGAAAAAAAGGAGAATATTGCTTCAAACATAAATTTAGAGATGAACTCCGACCCTATAGTTTCAATTTTGGCGATAAAATGATACAAGTTTATCTAAAAATTGTTGTTTAAGGTAGTAAATTTTGAAGTAAAATTCTAAACCGCATAAGGTCGTTAACTTTTGGACCCGAAAAGTTCGTTCCACCTTTTATCTTTAGAAATTCTAATTAAGGAAATTAGTTAAGCAATCCAATTAAATGTTTGCTCTAGGTGTGGAATTAAGCAAATATATGGCATTTCTTTAGACCAATCATTGGTATTAACAATCTAGACTATCTAGATGAATAACCGATGGTAAAACAATAATACTGAATTGAACGCGTTTTGTATGGTACCTTATAGAGACAAGAGACATAATGGCCGTGAATTAGAGATGGCACACAAAGGCAACACAAACGCTATTTTAAATGAACCCATTTTCTCGTAAAATCTAGTAGAAACTTGGTACGCCTTTAGATTCTGATATTTGAAGATATAGGCTCAACCTTATCGGCTAATTTGTGATTCCTCTGAAATTTATCAAATAGAGTTTAATCACGAACCCTCTTAGACAACAATGATTAATTAGTAGAGAAATTGATTGAAATCGAACAAATTTTGAGGTCAATCAAAAATTACAAAACCTTGTAGAAGAATTGTACATAAATAAACGTTGTTGATTTATTGAGAGAAACTGATTGACTAATTAAGAGTAAAACGTTTAAAATGTGTCTATATTTGTTTTTTCGCTTCTTTAGCGGTTAGAGACTGTCTTCTATTTCTTCAATGGTATGCGTTATGTGTCCCATCATTTAGTCTATGGATTCGTACCATCCTTAAACAGCCATAATGTTTTTCCCCATTTATTTTTTGTCGCTGTTCTATCTAGTAAAAAAAAACAAGTCAAAATTAACCACGTGTTTCCTTCATATCAATTTTAGCTATACTATAAGCAGGGAAAAAATGTATGGTAATTTTTTTGGGGTTTTCGAACACTTTTGTCGTTTTTGAAGAAGTGGCTAGGTCTGAAATTTAATTGAATTTTTGGAATCTTTTAATTTTTCTATGTTTATGGTTATTTGAAAACTTTGCCGATTTGTAGAGATGGCGTAAGAAATACTTTAACTAAGTATTTTCAGAAAACCTTCGAGGTAGAAAAATGCTGATTGTTTTTTTTTATTTGCAAACTAATTTACAGCAAAAAGAGGACAAATTCACATTTTTTTTGCCATATTTTGCCATTAAAAATCAATTCTATTGCACTCTAATACAAAAAAAAAATTGAATTGAATAATTAAAACCGCTTGTTTGAATAATAAAAAATTGAATCATAAAAAAATTAAAAGCGGTTTTAATTATTCAATTTTAGTTTTTTTGTATTAGAGTGCAATCCCGCACCGAGCGCCCATGGATTCTAATC